CACAGAGATCAGACACGCAGGCAGCGGCCTCGGGGAGAACCAGACCGTATCAACCCCGAGAGACACTGAACCCTGTAAATGGTGTGGGAAGAGCTCACACCCTGACGGCTCGAATGAACGAAGGGGTTGCCCAGCAGCAAAGATGACTTGTCACAATTGCGGGCTTAACCGGACATTTAAAAAGGGGTTTGCAGGAAACCGAAGCAGGGGTCCAGCAACAAATCTACAGCGGGTGTGGTCGGAGCAGAATCCAGAACTCTCACCACCCAAAAGACACAAGAAGGGTCGTAACCGGATGATCGTCCAAGATGGACAAGTGAAAAGGAGAGGTGAAATCAACCTGACAAAACCAAAGGCCGTGCCGCACCTGATTTGGAACAAAAGTAAGTTCCGAAGAGGTACTCCTGATCCAGCACCAACCCTGATGGTAGAGATAACTCTGATTCCAGAGGCCCATGCGAATTCGGGCACATATCCATAGGACAAGCTGGCCTCCATACTCACCGGATCGAGGCGATCGCAGACACTGGGGCACAGACATGCTCTAGCGGACCAGAAATCAAAAAATTCTGAAGTGTCCAGACAAATGTCTAGTACTGACTAGTCACCGAATTGGGAATCACGGATAACCTACTAAACATAAAAGGCGTGATATTCGCTAAAGTCAGAGTAGGATCGCGGGAAACACGTCAGATTATATATGTATCAAAAAAATACATCAGATTTCTGCCTGTCGAGCCGGCCCTAAAAGACCTTGGTCTGTTGCCAGATAACTTTCAGACCCAACTTCCCAGCAGAACGTGGCAACTAGCGACGGCGGAAAGGCACCATGTGGGTGCCCACAAAGAACTAATGTCCCACCTAAGCCGGACAGTATCCCTTTCGCTCATATGGAAGAAAACAGACCCCGATTGGAACGATGGATAAAGGAGCATTTTGAGTCCAGTGCATTCAATGTATGCCCACATCAATGGCTGCAGGCGATGGAAGGAAAACCCATGGACATCACGTTCATCCCTGGGGCCAAACCCTCAGCTGTCCACACCCCAATCCCGGTCCCACACCATTGGAAGAAAAGAGTCAAGGAGGACCTCGACCGAGACGTGGCATTGGGCATCGTAGAACCTGTACCAGTGGGTACACCTACAACATGGTGCTCCAGAATGGTGGTTGCACCGAAAAGGACGGGTCACCGAGGCGCACGGTGGACCTACAGAAGCTCAACACCGCTACCCTACGAGAAACCCATCATACACCGTCTCCTTTCAATCAGGCATCGCTGGTGCCTGCGAAAACTAGAAAAACCGTTTTGGATGCATGGAATGGCTATCATAGCCTAACCCTCTCTCCATCGGCAAGAGATGCAACTACCTTCATCACGGAATTGGGTAGATACCGTTATCTTCGGGCACCACAAAGATTCCAAGCGTCAGGAGACGCATATACACGCAGGTTCGACAATATTACTGTAGATATGCCCAGGAAAACAAGATGTATTGACGATACGATACTATGGGACAACTCTATTTAATCATCATTTTGGCATACTATGGAGTACATAAATAACTGCAGCAAAAATGGTATCGTATTCAACCCCCAGAAATTTCACTTGGCGGAAAAAAGAGGTGGAATTTGCGGGTTCTTGATAACAGAAGACGGATAAAACCCACCAAAAAATGACTGAAACAATACGGAATTTCCGACACCAAAAAATATAACTGACATAAGATCCTGGTTTGGAATGGTAAACCAGGTAGCCTACGCTTTTTCTCAGGCCGAGGTAATGGCCCCATTCGGGAGCTGCTAAAGACAAAAAATCGGAAGTTCTACTGGGACAGCACACTCGATCGAATCTTGAAGAGTCGAAAAGAAGGATCACAGAAGAAATCGAGAACGGTGTAAGAACCTTGAAGTGAATAGGCCAACTTGTTTGTCGACGGACTTCAGCAAAACAGGCTTAGGATATTTTCTTTTCCAGAAGCACTGCAACTGTGCCACGAAGCTGGACCGAAGTGTGGTGAGGACCACTGGAAGTTAATCCTGGCCCGCTTCCGATTCACTAATGGACGCAGAGTCGATATGCACCAGTGGAAGGAGAAGCATTGGCATTAGTCTACGGACTGGAAGCATGCCGGATGTTCGTTTTGGGGTGCCCAGAGCTGTTAGTCACTGTGGACCATAAGCCCCTGGTGAAGATCTTCTCGGACAAAGCTCTGGAGGACATAAAGAACCCAAGACTGTTTAACTTCAAAGAACGGTCCTTGATGTACAAATTTCGAATAAAGCATCTCCCTGGCAAACTCAATGCGGCACCAGACTGTACATCGAGATGCCCAGTGGCGTTAAGCCAGGAGGAAGCAAACGAAAAGGACATCGCACAAACTATGGATAGTGCCATAAGAGCGTCATTTAACTCCACCTATGAGCAGGACCCTAAATTAAGAGCAATAACATGGGACAGGATTGTGGCTGCAGCTGCTACTGACGAGGAATGCCGTTCCCTCGCCGAATTCATACAAAATGGCTTCCCTAAATCTCGGCACAAACTGCCGGAGACAATTCGCCGGTTTTGGCATATGAAAGAGGAGTTATATTGCTTGGAAGGGGTGACGATAATGGAAAATAAAATCCTCATACCCAGAAAGCTACGTGCGGAGGTACTGGAATCGCTCCATTCAGCGCATCAGGGCGTCAATGGAATGTTGGCAAACGCTAGACAGCGGCTGTTTTGGCCAGGACTGGACGCGAGCATTCGTCAAACCCGGGCCCAGTGCAAAGTATGCAACGAATAGCTCCATCACAACCCAAAGGAACCCCTAATGCGCCCTTGAACGAAGTTCCCATTTCAGAAGACTGTGACGGACTTCTTCGATTTACTAGGGAAGAACTATCTAGTATATGCAGATAGATACACCGGATGGGTAGAAGTCACTCTGATGTCGTTCGGGAATGCCAAGGCTACATGTGACGCCCTACTGAAACTGGTTCTGCACGTATGGCGCGTGCGGAGGAACTTTCAACCGATGACGGACCACCGTTTGACTCCAGTGAATTTAACGGTTCCTAGATAATTGGGGCATAAGGAAACGAACATCATCGGCATATTACCCTCAAAGCAACGGGGAGAGCAGAACTGGCCGTTAAAACGGCTAAAAGGATACTTGTTGATAGCACGGACAGTTGCGGTTGCCTATGCCATGACCAGGCAGCTAGGTCCCTACTGACTCATCGCAACACCCGGCACGAGACCTACATATGTCTCCAGCGATGATGCTCTACGGTCGCGTGATAAAGGACCATCTCCCAGTGCTCCAGGACCAATATCGAATCCACAAACGCTGGAGAGAAATCAGTCATTATAGGGGAAACAGCGATGGCAAAAAAGACACTTAAGGAATGAAAGAGAATACAATCTAAAAAGTCACCCACTTCAGGAACTGAAAATCGGGAAACGGTGCAGATACAGAACCAAGTTGGTCCATACCGGCGCCGATGGGCAAAAGACAGGAAGGGTGGTGGAAACACTGGGTAACCGGCAGTATAATGTGCGCATGGATGGGAGTAACCGGGTAACCCGTCGCAATCGCAGATTCCTCCGAAAAATAAACCCAGTAGTAGATACTCCTTGCCACTCGATACCTGAGGTGCCCCAGGAATGTTGGATACCATAGACAACCCAACAGGGCCCGAAATACCGAGAGAATGGTCCACCACTGATATGGATCAAAACCAGCCCGAAACATCCGACACTCTACCAGAACCGATGGAGGTAGATGACACAGCATCCCCTGGAATGATGGAGGTTGAGGAAGACCAACCGGTGCGTCATAGCAGAAGGGTGACGCGACCACCCAGGAACCTATCCCCACAGACGTGGGGGCACGCCGCACGCACTACTCCAGAGCCTCAAAACATTGGACCACAACGCGAGTATCTTGTGGCCCCGGAAGGGGGGGGGGCGTGTAGAGGTGGAATCGAACCTAAGACGCCCAGTTACAAGACCGGAATGGTCTTGGCGTCACAACCCCATAGAAGTAGACTCGCCCGCTTACATGTGAGGCGAGAGTGGGCTACTTAAACAAGACATTCACGGCAACGAGTAGTTTGGCAGATACACATCGTCTCGCTGCTACCTTACAGTCTATAGTAATTTGAAAGCCAAAATTTCTAAAATTTAATAAAGCAGTAGATTACAGTGAATATTTTCCTAAATTTTTAAGATTACTGAGTATTTAAAAGCTCAATAAAAAAAGCACTCACATGATTTTTTTTCAATTATCTTTTACAGCCAAAGTCTCGATATAATAATATTAGACCTGTCATCTCACTGTCAAACACGCCAACAGAGCTACTGTTGAGTTAAAAAGTGCATTTCTGTAATAGTTTAAAATTAAAGTAAATAATATTTGTTTCAAATCAGATTAATTATACTTTAAGTATGCTAATATTCCTCAAATAAAGTTTCAAAAAAGTATATTTTATTTTTGGAAGATTATTTAATAAAGAGAATTACATTGTGATGAAAAGGACACCAATCAGCTATTTTAGAAAAATAAATTTCTTTCCAGTTTATATTTCTTTTATTTCTTTCCAATAAATTTCTTTCCATTTATATTAGTTTTTGAAATACAACAAAGTATTTTGTTTAACAGAAATATTCAATTCACTCTATTACTTTGAAATTAAGACTAAAATAAAAGCATCAAGAAAGATTTTTCATTTTATAAAAATAATTTTAAACCTTAGGTATTGCGTTTTTGTGGAGGTTTCTAATGTACAGTTTTGTCAAGCATAAATGCTTTGTTTTATAAATATTGTTATATCCAATTAGAAAATAAATTCACTTAGTTTTATAAGCAAAAATGATTATGCTAGCAAATAAATTTATTTGGCCTTTAAACTTTGCCAAATCCAATCCCATTCTGTTTGTTCTTCTTTTTCTTGAACTTGTGTGCTGATTTCTATAAATCTCTTTTGAAATCCTTTCCTTAATTCAACACTGGTTTTGAGCTTTTTCATCAGAGGTGTCTTCTGATGGCTTTTCTCGCGTAAATCAATCAGTGATCTGGAAAAGAAATGCAAAACTATAGAACACTAGAAAATCTGAAGCCTGTGTCGATATTGTTTTGCTATCAGTTAATTTCCTTTTTTAAACTCAATTTTAATCTAGAGGAACATACAAACATAAACAGAAAAAAAAAAAATGTTCACCTAACAAGGCAATATGAAACCTTTTCCCCATCTTCTCCCATGAAGAGCAAAGCAGAACGTATTCTCTTTAGTGTAAAAAAATTTCTCAACAAAGCAAAAACAAAAACTGGTAAACTCCTGCATGCATATAATCAAAGTGTCAAAAGGACAGTTTTTCCATTGACACAGCAATTATTTTAATTACCTTCACTCCTTAGCAATGTTTATTGTTTTAAAAAGTGATGATTAGAATTATAATAATAATGTATTTGGATGAGTTCAAGTCCTCTTCTGGAGAGGAATGTTCATCTCCATAAAATATAAAATATTGCACAAAGGCATAAAAGTTTCACTTAAATGAGCTAATAACTTTGAGGTTTTCATTATTTTAGACAAAAAAGAAAAACTGATGCTTCTCATAAAAATAATAATTTACTGATATATAGAATCTTCCAGGAAAAAACAAGTTCAAGGAAATGATTACAGCTATATTGCAAATAAAGCAAGTGTTTGTTTTCATTTGATTAATCCTAGAATTGGGATGTGCGTGTAGCATAGCAATTATTATCACAGAAAGTGGGGTTGGTGTGTTGAGTTGAAATCCCAGCTGAGGTGTTTGCATTGCTTTTGCACAAATACCCTTGAGGTGGTATGAACCCATCACTTCTCCCTCCCAGCTAGAAGGAGGTTAATAGCAAGGCAGACTGGACTTTCTAGCTTTGGTTGGCAACCAGTCTGGGAGAAGGCAACTCTGAATTCAAAACCAGTTAGGTATGGGGCTAGCAACTCTGTCCCATGAAAAACCTAATTGCTATGGAGATCACAGTATCTATACCTAGCATCGTGAGGTTGGGGTCCTATACTCTACTGAACATATATACATACATAATGGCTGGCTACTCATTTCTGAGTATACCTATCTGCTAGTGTGGCTAGGACATATTTGTATTTACTCAACACTCAGAGATATATATATTATTTATTTATTAAACAGTATATTTATTTATTTTTGTAGCATAGTTGGTTAAAGCACGCTGGATCTAATAACAGTTTCTCTCTGCACAGAGGGACACAGGTTCGAGATTCTGCTGGAGAAAGTACATCTTTAATAATAAGATTTCTCAAATATTCAGGCTGGTACAGAAGAATGAATAAATATACTGTTTAATAAATAGACAGAGCATCTACACAAATATGAGTATCCATTAAAAACAACATTTAAAGTGATACAAATCTGTCAGATTAATAAGTAAAAAATCCATTACTTTTTAGAAAATTGGTTTAGCTTTTGATACAAAACTGAACAGATATAATTTTGAGTAGTCTATAACAAGAAAGATTTTGCTTAAAGTCACTGTTTAGACCTTGCTTGATCGGCAAAGCATCTTCATGGCTGAGTCAGTTAAGGCACATTGGATCTAACAATTCCCTCTGCCCAGAGGAACACAGATTTGAATCCTGCCGGAGAGCGCATATTTTCTTTAATTGATTATCAAACTGGCAATCAAATTTTTTTTTTTTTCAACGCAATTTAAATAATTACTTTTTTCTATTATAATAAAGTTATATAATTACTATAATCTAACAAAATACAAAAAATGTCATTAAATAATCTTGTATCTTTATTACAATGCAAATATTATTACAAATATCTTTATCTATTACAGTGCAGAAGGAATGCTATTAAATAAACTTTATTTCATATGATTATACTCTTAGTAAACGAAAATATATAAATGAAAATATAGTTAATAGATAAAAGGTTCAAAAGACTTATCTTCCAACTTTAAATTTTGCAGATATACTACTCATCATGGTCAGATAAATCTACTGAATTCATTATCAGATATTGTATTTAAATAGAAATATATAACATTTTTCAGTTGATAGAATAAAATTGGAGAAAAATTTGATTGAGGTTTGTAGTTTCCTAGAAAATCTAATCTTACATCATAATGATGTTAACATTTTTACTTTTGTCTTGCAAAAATATTTTGTTTGCAAAACAAGAATGATTTTAATTTGCTACTAAAAATAGGAATTCCTTTGGTTTTTAAAGACATGTATGATAACATTTAGCCTACAAATGCTAAATATTTTATCAAGAAAATAAAATGTGGTAGGCGTCTTTTTTCTTCTATGTGCCATGTCCCTTTAGGTTGTGGGAGATCATGGAACTGTAGAATTTTCTATCCTTCATCGCACTTATAAAATCTGTCTTTTTTACTATACCCCCCACTCCCTGTTCTGCAATTATTAACACCACCTCGTTAGGTAGGTTACTTGCTTTCCTTCGTCCATCTTGACTACAATATGTCCTGTGAGTGTCAAGTTTTCCAGGCCTTCTTTCCTCATTATGTGTCCCAGAAATTTCAACTGTCACATTCTGATTTTATATACAATTGTCCTTTTTGTTTTCATTTTCCTTAAAACTTCCTCATTGCTTACATGTTATGTCCATGGGATTCTCAGCATGCTTCTGTTAAACCATATCTCTTGTTTCTTAATAATTTGCTTAGCTTTTGGAAGTCATCTTTCACTATTCCAATGCACCTTTAGATTTCAGTGTCACATTTTCCATATGTTAACACACTTCCTAGATCTTCAAACTTCTGTACTTGTTTGATTTTGATGTCTCCAATCCATAGCGTGCGTTTTGGGCTTTTTCTTTTGGTGGCAACCATGTATTTTGTTTCTTACAATTGATAGTCCTTTCTTCTCTCTTTCCTTTATTACTATTCCCTTGTCTAGGAGGTTCTGTAATTTTCTTTGTATCTACCAGCAACACAGTATCATTTGTAAATCTTATATTGTTAGGATAACACCCACCAATAATAAATTCTAGTAGGATCTCCAGCTCCCTAATCTAACCCACAGTTACAATTGCAAATTGACTGTCCTTTCAATTTAATCAATATTCCAGAATCTTCAACTGGACAAATCTGAAATATAAGTCTTTGACTCAAAGGATTGAAGAAATAAATCACAATTCTAAAATAATTATCATACTGCTTACTTGTGCTTTCATTATTCAAGGTCCCCTGAATTTTAAAGCCATACTGAGAAGATAAGAACAGTAATAAGAGGTGGGACTCATTCCTAAAACTTTATGAGTTTTATACTGAATCTAATAATGCTCTGATATATAATATTACACTGGTAACTGATCCTGGATATTAAAATAGAGTGAATACTGAAGTAAATACAAATATGTGGCTGGATCAAAGCCTGATGTTTCAACCATTGTATGCTCTGGCCTTCTTCAGGAATCAGAACAATCTATCCTCATGGAATGAATAAAGGGTTAGGTTAGAAATTCCAACGTATAACACCTGAAGAAGGCCAGAGCGTACAATGGCCGAAACATTGTGAATATAGCAATAAATACCAAGGCAACAGTCCAAACAATGTAAATAGAATTTAGTTGATATGCTCCTCTGGTTACTTTTTTATTAGTTTTATATTGACAAAATGACTTTTTTAAAATTTTTGTTTTCAAAGAAATAATAGCATTTATGATGATGTGGGAAAGGGAACAAAGAGGGAAAAAAACAGTTATTGTAAATTTAGAAATTTGCTTTATGGTAGCAAAATATCATTTTCTTATTTACAGATTTTTACGCTCAGATTAATTTCCTCATCTTTGTTGTTATTATCACAATATTACACCTGTTGTGCCCCCTGGTCTTCCTCAGAAGTTCAGATAGTACAAGAGTAAATAATACCATTAATGATAATTCCTCATTCCAGAAATTCAGAACAGAAAATATCAATCCTTTATTAATACTGTTTGCAGCAAAGTGTAATGTATGTTATATTCCGTATTTAGTTACGTGGGCGATGTGAAAACAATGTGGGCGAAATACTGCGTTTGGTTGCAAACAATGAAATTCACAATCGAAAGAACAAGAAAGACTGTAGATATATTTTATAGTCTTTTAGTGAGGAAAATAAGAACAAGTAAAAGGTTCGTATTTAAGAAGTTGAGTGTCTATGGTAGTGGCAAGTAAAGTTTGTGGATTTAACTTGACTTATGGAAGGTGAAAGGTACCCTTTGACAAAGTGTCGGACGAGAGTTCATTAGCAGCAGCAGTCACATGCTTCGTTCGTCATTGGGCCAGTGTGTCAGGAGCGAGCGACGTGTCCCTTCTGCCTCCGCCGTTGAATGGGACTGCCTTTTGACTTTCCCGTGTTGAACTTATACACGCCTATCGGCTCCAAATGGCAATTTTTTGACTACGCGGGAGACGGTCCGATTGGTTGATTTAATTCTTTCATTTTTTTTTTGAGTTTATCCCAAATAGAAGTATCTGCGTTGAGCCTATGCGTAGACGTGCAGTTTTCATTTCGAGTCGGGGACTCGTGATGGTAACTTCCGTTTATCGAAGCAGGGCAAGATCTCATCTTGTAACATGTATCTTCCACTTAAGTACCAAAATCCGTGTTTGTATTTAACTTTAAAAGTAGCAACCTTTTTGATGAAAGAAAGTTTTTGAGGTGACTACTCCTTTAAAATTAATAGTTTTGCCAATTCACTTTCTGAAAATATATTATTTAATATTTGAAATTAGAATCAATAATCATAATCTGTTTGGGTCAATGGTTGTTGCTTTTATTTACTTTGCAAGAAGGTTAGAATATTATTGTGAATATACAATGACAGGCATCAGTGAGTTTTTTTACTGACAAGACAATTCACCCCACAATTAATGTTTGTGTCAGTGAGAACGAAAACTAGACAAGACCCAGTATGTTCAACAGAAGAATGGAAGGTAAAATGATACTATGGTGACAAAAGAAAGCATAAACCCTTTTTGCAATATACTGGATTACTTTATTCACTGGCCAAGTTCTGAGTTGGATCTATCACTATTTCTGGAATATGTATGTGACACTTAGGTCCCTTTTTTTACCTCCTCCAAGCAACTGCTATCAATGTGATTTATTGGATGGATGATTCCTCTTTCTGCTTTATCTAACCATGACTTATTGTTATCTAGAATGCAGATTAACTATATAATATTAACACATTTCACTTCTGCTTACACCCAGTGGTGTAACCACACTTACTGGTCTAGTCCTCAGATTCTTAGGATGACACTTTAAGCATGGGCTAACTCTTTATTGTTCAATGCTGATGCTGGTTCAAGCTGGTTGTTGTTTGCTGGCCACTTTGATCCACACCATGCTGTGTTTTTGATCTCAAAGTAGTGGAAAATTGAAGGTTGTAATCTCGCAGCACTGGTCAAACCATAGCAGGTACTATATTAAGGAAAAAATGTCTTCACAATGAAAATTAAAACGAGAGATTCGTTGAGTTAATCTTCAATTGGTTTATATACCTCTTCCCACGTCAATCTCTATAGTGACACTGGGCCCTGTCTAAACTTCTGGAAGGCTGGGTTCAAAGTCTTGGAATTAAGAATTCTGGTGGCAGCTGATGTGAACTCCAGAGACACTTGATGCAGCTTCTCTGCCCAAAGTCTATGAGCTCCCCAAAGTCATCTGTTTATTATATGCACTTTGGCCCAAAACTGGCATGGGGATGAAGGGTTCTGGGGGTTCAGTGATTCCCCAATTTCATTAATTCCAATAAATGCTTTCTATGTTCCCTATTTCTGCTTTCTTAACCAACTTTCCAAATTTGGAGAATTATCTACCTTCTCAGGAATAGTTACAGGGGTTGCTCCTCCCCTAACTCCAACCTACTTTATTTCACATCCCACACTGCTACTCTGCACAAATGGGGCTAAATTCTGCCCCTTCCTCCATCCTTCTCAGTATTCTAACTCTTCCCACTTCTCAGGGTGGCATAACTGTCTTTGTGACAAATCTAATTTTTAAAGTGCACAAGAGAAAGGGTGTTGTTTATTCTCTTCATTAATTTCCATTCTCTGACTCCTTTTACACAAACAGGAACACCTTCTTGGCACAGCATGATTGATCTTCATAACCTAACCCTAAGAAAAAGGGTTTGTTCCTTGTTTTTGTTTTTGTCAATGAAAATATAATTCTTGTCTGCTTCTCCTCTCATTAATAATATGTTTTCCTAATTTCTAAAGAAAGAGATAAATTTATTTCCCAATTTGTTTTATCCACATACCACATTTCCAACAGATAAAAAAACCTCAACTCTTGGTGCATTGTTCCAATTCATAGGGAGGGGAAGACAATCCAGATGGCCCTTTTTTCACTTCCACATTATCAGGGAAAATATCTTCCATTCTCTCTCTCCTTCCTTGTTTTTGTTTTCATCAACAAAAATATAATTCTCATCTGCTTCTTTTTACATTAATGATATGGGTTTTCCTAATTTCTCAAAGAAGAGATAAAATTGTTCTCCAAATCCGTTTTCATCCACATGTCAGACTCTCAATAGATAAGAAAAATAAACTTTAGGAGAGAAGAAATCCGGATATCTCATTTTCATCAAGGAATCTCTCTCCCTCATCCTATATTTCATTTTGGGTTTAATCCTTTTCTGCTCAGAATCAACATTTAACCATTTCACTGCCTCAGTGTCACATAAGTACAATGATTAGAATTCTCTACCTTCTGAGTGAGTGGCACTTGATCCTGAAAATTTTTATTTATTTCCTTTTTCCCTACTTGTGGACAGCAGGTAGTTACTTTGAAACTCCCACATCTTGATTTTATTGTTGGTTGTCATAAAAACCATTGGTGCTTTAGACAAAATCATTTACTGTTCATTTGATTGTGTCCAGAGTCAATCAAGTCAGGTCCCACTGGGTCACACTATGCATTCAAAGAGTCAAGAAAATGTTGACTTAAAATGCAGTTGTTTTTATTATTCTTATCAAAAATAAATACATTTATGTTTCATTTTCTGGAAAAAAAATTGTTATACCAGATGGTCATTAAAATTGTTAAATTGTTTTGATGTAATGAAAAACAAAACAAAATAAGTAGACTATTTATATGGCATTGCTTACTTGTGCTCCATTTGGGGAAAGAAATCTTCTCTCGTAAGTACATCTTCAATGTTTTCTCCAAAGATAACTTCCTGTGTCAAATGCACAATGTTATCCAGAGGTAAATTGCTCAAGGCTATACACAAATTCACCACTGCATAGGCCATATATTCTGGGAATCTCTTATCAACTTGTACAAAATTATCTGAAATTAAAATATTTATTAGAACTCATGAATTTATTTAAAGCCGTGGTTCACAAACTTTTTCCTGTTGCTATTCCACCTTGACTACCTGGATACATTCCTAGTTTCCTCCACCCCAACAAACTTACATTTGTTTCTTGATATTAGGTCAATTGCAAATTTAAAAAACACCTAATCTTAAACTTAATTCTTTGATAATACCTTGCAGACGTGAAAATGCAATGATCACTAGTCTCCACGACATCTGTTTTCTGATCTACCTGTTGTGTCCTGTTCAGAGCATGTCACCATAATGGAAATAAATTTTTAAACTTTTAACTCTGATTTTAGACCACAAAATAAATAAAACCATTCATGAAGCAAACATGTGACTTAAATGTTTGTAAATTAGAATTTTTCATATAAATTATGTCCCCCCCCCCATACAGTTTTTAGTCTGATGACCGTTTAAACTAGGGTGTTTCCGAGGGAGTGGTGAAGAAAAAAGGAGGCAGTATGGAGGTGGTTGTTTGCTGTTGGTATAACTTTTCTTCCTCTTCTCTAATTCATTTATCTTAAAGTTTACATAGCCTACATTGTTTCAGTATTAATTTAGTAAGAATAGGCTAAGTGGGTCAAGCTAAGAACTTTTCAACAGCCCCACATATAATAATAACTAAGTTAATATATATTCATTCACAACATCCATATTCATTGCTGCATTTAAAAAGTGAACAAAATATTTAAAATATTAGCTGTTTATATAACCCATGCTATCATAGGAAGGATACATTAAACAAATACATTAAAACTTTTACTCACTCCCAAGATTACATATATAAAGACATAGCAAATTCTGGAAGCAAAGAATAAAAATATGAAACAATCATTAGAGTTGTTTTTTAATATCATGTGTATTTAAACTTGGTATACATGGTCTCAAGAATTCATGGCAATTCAAAGCTACTAAAGAAAAGGAATCTGTGGAGAGTCATAATCGCCTGTCCTGAAAAGACATGGCATTTAAAAAAAAAGAAAAGGACTAATGTGCAAAGATTATATTGAATTGATTGCTAGGTCTGCTGCTGGGTAATTTAGTTTACTGTGTCTTGCTAGATAATTTTTCTTGCCCAAATCTATCTACATTATCATCATCGTCCCCTTGACTTTTGTAATCGCAGGGGGGGATCCAAATGCAGAAACCACACTGGATCTTCTCCACAATGATCTATCAACAGCAGCCATCAGCAATTCTGATATAGTCATAGCTGTCCATTATTTAACAGTTTTTGCATTGATATCCACTCCTATGTCCACCTTCAACAGGGCCTTGCATGATGGTCTTGCACAGGCTGTCGTGCCTTGTAACATGTCCAAACCACACCATTTTCCTCTGTTTGACAGTGGCAAGAAGAGGTTCCTGGTGGCCCACAAAACTATCAACTCTTTTCCACACAAACTCATTGGTTTTATGTTACCAACAGAAAATTCCAAGTAGTTTTCTCATGCATTTGTTCTCAAATGCTTGGATCCTTCTCTCTGTTTCTGCCAACAGTCTCCAAGTTTCACATCCATATAGGAGAATGGAGACTACCAGCGATTTATACAGTCTATACTCTGTTTGAAAGCTGATTTTGTGCCTTCATATTCGTGCCAGTTTGGCCATCGGCACCATGGCTGCGGCAATCCATGTGTTGATTTCCAAATTGCAGGTACCAGCTTTAGACAAAATTGCTCCAAAGTATTTAAATTTGGACACTTCCTCTAGGGAATTCCCATTCATGGTAATGTTGACACAGGTGTTACTGCTTGTGCTATTCACCATTACTTTGGATTTCTCATAGTTGACCTGCATTCCATATGCTCCTGCTCTTTCAAAAAGTTTGTTGGTCAAGTCCTGGAGCTCACTGTTACTACCTGCTATGAGGTCAATGTCATCTGCAAAACTTAGGTTACAGACAGCTCTACTACCGATAGAGACTGAAGGATCATGATCGTTCAAGGTTTCTTGCATGATTCTAGAAATAGTTTGAACAATTTGAGTGAAAGTACACATACCTGTCTCACACCGACAGTTGTCTGAAAGAATCCTCCTATTTCTTTTCCCAGAACTGCATTGGTGACATCTTTATATAGGGCCTGGATGACTTGGATAATTCCGTTATCTATATTCAATTCCCTAAGGATTTGCATATTTTACATATTTATAAATCTACCATTCATTTATGCATTGAATATTGCTGCTATATATGGTCTGGTGTCCCTGTTATATATTTAGAGATCTTTCATAAAATCCAAAGAAGAATCTACAATATCATTGATCCTGTCCTGGCATCTCGGTTTCAATCATTTTCCCACCACCATAATGAAGCCTCCCTATGCTTTTTCTATAAATGCTTTCATGGTAATTGTTCTAATGAACTTTCCTCTATGGTAACTAAATTTTATGAATTTAAGCACAGTACTAGATTGGGGGAAAGGTCTCAACAATTTACAGTTAAATGGCTAGGTGTAACCATAAGTTCTATGATAACAATTTCATTTCTCACACTTCTCACTTATGGAACTCTCTTCCAGCTTCTTGCTTCCCAGTTACTTTTGATCTTCAAAAATTTTAATGCAATGTCAATCATTATCTTCTGTCTTAATTCCTATTCTTTTATTGTTCTCTCTCCTTAATAGTGTTTTTTTCTCAGTACCCCCTTGTGTCTTAGTAGCTTTATTGCCTTGCTTGGGATGAAATAATAACAAAAAAAAAGTACATGATCTCAACTTTTCTTATCTCTATCCAATGATTTTATCAGTAAGTACTCCACTACTTAATTTTTGATGTGTGTTTTTTTTTTGCATAAGCAGACAAATATTTCTGGTGATAGAAAAAATTTAGATGATTAAACAATGAATTTGTTTCAAAATCATATTTGAGTTTCAGCACTCAATTTACATGTTGTTCATTGAAAATCAGGATAGAAGGGATTTTCAGTGGTTAAGAAGGGGTTGTCAGTAGTCAATATTTACGAGAGAATTATTATAAATATAATGTAAATACTTTACTAATGATTTTGCTATAAAAACATAGCAATTAATTTAACAAGAAAAATGCATTGCTAATGATTTTACCATAAAAACAATAAAAAAATAAACCTGGCAACTGCTCTTGAAAAGGGCTTTCAATCAGTGGTTAAATGGGGTAAGAAATGGCTTGTAAATTTTAATGCCTCCAAAAGAAAACTACTTTTATTTAATCACCACAGAGAACATTTTCTGCCTGCCATCAACATGGCTGAAGCTAACCTCCAGGAGAGCAACACTTTGCACCTTCTTAGGCTCCCATTTTCCACTGACATAGAATGATTATATTGAATCCTTTGCTAAGTATACTGCTAGGAAAGTTGGTTCACTGTGTCATGCCAGAAAAATTTTCTTATCAGAATCCAGCTTGTACATTTATAAATTACCAATCATCCGTGTATTGAATACTGCTGTCATATCTGGTCTGGTGCTCTTGCTGTATATCTTGAGATTCTTGACCAAATTCAAAGAAGGGTCTGTAATGTAATCAATCCTGATCTGGCATCTCAAATTCAGTCGCTTCCTCACCAATGTGACATGGCTTTCCTCTCTCTTTTCTACAATTTCTTTCATAATAACAGTTCTGTTGAGTACCCTGACTGCATGAATTTAAGCATGCTACAAGATTGGCAATTTGGTCACACCATTTTACTGTTGAACTAGCTAGATGCAACCACTACTTCGATTCTAACAGTTTCTTTTCTTGCACTTCTCACCTGTGGAAATCTCTCTTCTAATTTCTTGCTTCTCTGCCACCTACAATCTTCATAAACTTAAATGCAACATCAATTACCATTTCCTGTCCTTTGTTTCTTTATACTTTCCTCACTTCTCCTCACTAAAGTCTTCTCATTCTTTTTCACTCCTTGTAATCCCCTGTGTCTTAGTGGCATTATCGCCTTACTGAGGTTGAAATGATTAAAAAATAATTAAAAAATAAGCAATTTGATAAGATAAAATGCATTATGATTTTACCTTAAAAACATAGCAATTATTATTTATATTATTTACATGTGAACTATTGTCCTCATTTTGTTGCGGTTATCATAATGTTTCAACTATTGTGCCCCCAGCCTTCATAAGATGTACATTGATCCAGGTAAACTACAGGGAATTCTGTACCGAAACCTTTATTTAATCTCCAGGAGTATACTCTTCTCATTTTGATGCCCATATCTAGGGATATCTTGTCTAGTTCTTATTTTTCGTACTGCTCAGTTATTGCAATAGTTCACATGTAAATAGTGTAAATAATGATAACTCCTCATCCCAGAAATTCAGACAGTAATTACATAGCAATTAACATGACAAGAAAAATGCATTGCTATTGATTTTAATATAAAATGCATTGAAAATTAGGTAAGAGTTACTGTTGGTGAGCAGGAATTAATGCAATTATTACTGACACAATTATATTATTATTAATGAAACTATAATAAAATCAAGAGAATAACACACCAAATAGAGAACACATCTACTAAACTAAAATGACTTAAAGGGGTTTATTGTCAACTAATAATAAAATACAGTTGTAAAAAATATGATATTTCTATATTGAAGAAAGTTCTAACTTAAAGAAAAAAAACCTAAAGTAAGGATATCTAGAGTAGACGGACATAAGTTTTTTTGAGTGTCCTATTTTAACTTGAAATAATAGAATTATGAATATATTTTGTCAAAAATTGGTAAAATCTGAATAATAAAAATATACGTCTTAGTCTATAATCTTTGTTAACATAAGGGTTTTGTCATTTATTTTTATAAAACTTGATGCATAAAGCTTGTCCATACCTGGATTTTCTTGGGGCAAAATTTTATCAATGATGTTTTTTGTCTTCATAACTGTGGAAATATTTTCTCTACAATTCCAGAATCTGCTGCCATTATTATTTTCATTCCAAGACAAGTTTGGTGTGAGTATATTTGTAGTGTCTAACAGAAAGGAAAGTTTTAAGATTGGTAGCCCAGCCACAGTGCTGTAGACAATACAATCTGGCCGAATAAAATGCTTTATATCTTTGGCTAACTGTGGAAGTTGGGCAGGCAAAATGCACAAAATTAATATATCTGCAAACTCACAGACTGCAATATTATCTTTGATACAATTTACACCCTGATTGGTGAGGTCTCCTGAAATGAAAACAGGTACAGAGAAATGATAAAAGTAAACATACATATTCATTTTCAAACAAGAATTTAACTTTAACAATCTAAGCAATTCTAGAATATTTTATGAAAATTCAAATTTATAGACTTGCCACAAGTAACTCTTTCAGAACTCAAATTTGTCAGATCTGCTATCCTGCAGCCACATTCAGAACATGAAGTAAATCTTTTATAGAAAGACCTGCTATATTCTGTTCCAGAATATCTAGCTAGCCTGCATTCAGAACATGAAGTAAATCTTTATAGAAGGTTTTATTTTTCAGGCACTGAATTTATCAGATCTGCTATTTTCTCTTGTAGACCAAGTTACATTAAATATTTATTTTTAAGATAACTATTAGTGTAGCACCCCCACTACTCCCATTCATGCTCATGGCGGACAATTTATAACTTTAGGACCTTTTGCCTTTTCTTTGTTTCTTCCCCTAACTTTCTTCTGTGCCACATGGCAGGCTTATTAAAATTTTATAATCACCCACACTTTGCTTTGTTGATTGATTGAACATTTCATAACATTAGTTATATATTGTAGCACTTCAGTATTTAATTTTTAGATACTAAGTACTTATCAACCTCAGTGACATGACTACACACTTATGTTATAAACCTGTGACTTTTTCGCAGATCAGGAGGAGCACAGGTCCCTGGTCCCTGTGACCAGGTCACTTACATGGGTTTTTTGTCTGCCAAGTGCACACTAATTGGAACTTTCTTTTCCTTCTTCTATGTAGCTCTTTTCTTCTGGCTTATTTCAACCTGACTCACTTGGTTCATTACAATGCCTGCACCAGACAGTACAGCTATTTCAGCCTATCTTCAGCTGCTCATTACAAATGCACTACCAGCCCTTGACTTATCAACTTTCAGCATTTCTTTTCAACCTAACATACTTGGTTCACTCAATGCATCATCGGACATTATACTACCACCAGTGTTTCTTGTCAACCAAACTCACCTTGTTTAGGAAGTTGCTGCATATCATCCAGACTTCAAACAAGCTATTCTATACACTTGGGTTAAATACTACAGAAGGTCCATTGTTTGATTTGACCAGCAACTACTCAACCAGACGTTAACAAAACATAGGCTATTATTTCTTGCTGCTTCATTGTGAATGTCTTCAATGCTAGCACTGAACATTTAAAGTCACCTTTCAAACTTTGGCTTTTCCTGCCAACTTAACTTACCTGGACTCTACTTTTAACATTTAGTCACAGTTATATTATCTTTGATCTTCTACCTGGTCAGTATTCCTCCATTTACTTGAGTCATTGTTTGTTCATGTTTATTTTCAATTTGTTTAACTGAAACACTAGTTTTTTTTATATATTATGGAAATAAATTTTGTATTAATTTAAGTTTGTCGTTTTTGTTATCCTCTTGTTGACCTGTCAGTTTTATGTCATTTACTTTTAAATGTTTGCAGGCTTCCTGTTCTTTATTTGGGCACACAGGCCATATCCTATATTATCACCATTGCCTTCAACACTATCTTCCTTATATATATAATTCAGTGGCAAATATTAATCACATAAAACAGACATTATACAGTGAAAATTTTAGATCATGTTATTAGTTATGTTTATATTTCTTTAATTGTTTTCATAGTCATTTCATTTTAAATTGCAGTTTGTTTTATTAAAGCAACTGATCAGCCATGAACATATTTTATTTTATGTACATTATTCAGACTGTTATCCTCACCTTCATTGCCATATTTACAACATTTCAGCTGTTGTACACTTCAGCTTTCCTCAGATGATTGGAATTTCGAAAATAACTCTTTATTTCTTCCACCAGGGTAGATTGTTCTAGTTCCATGTGCCATGCCTCTTCCAGATATCTCAGTTATTTCCCTTTAACTCAACTCTCCAACATTTTGGTTCACCACTGCTGTGGCCTGGTACTGAACTCACAACTCTTTAAGTGTGGTCACTGGATCTAACCAACATCTTGGCCATGTGTCCTTGAGGACATCTGTGTATGAATTTCTGAGACTTATAAACCTAATATCTCAGCAACCATTTTTTTTACCAGAGTTCATATTGCAATTTTTTTTATTATAGCATTTTTTACCAGAGCTTATATTGCAAATTTTTTTGTTGTTCATTGCTTTTCTCTAGCACACCATATTACTGTTTCCCATATTGTATTCATTTCTATGTTTGGTTGACTTGGAAGATTTTTGTGGCCTAGCATATGTGCTGATTCCTTAAGTTTTTGTATTTTCCAGTGATGCTCTCTGTCTATTATTTTAACCTCATCCCACAGTGGGTGGTAATCTCCTCTCCATATGTGGTCAGCTACGCCTGATTTTTCTATTTCCCCTTGTGTTACTGCTTTACAATGTTCTTGCAGTCTTACCTTAAGGGGGCAGCCTGTTTCTATTTTGTATTTCTTACCACAGCTGCATGGGATGGCATACACATAGTCCTTAGTCAAGTTCTCCTTTATGGGGGGTCTTACTTGGAAGAGGTGTCTGTAAAGTGTTGAAGTACTTTTTAAAGATTGTCCTGATATTATATGGACCACAGATCCTTTGTATTTTCTCCAATAATCCCTTCACATAGGGTATGCAGTCCAAATAATGTAAATAATGTAATAATCATAATACCTCATCTCAGAGATATAGACAGATATTGAAGAATCAGTACAGACCTGATATACCAAAAATATGGAGACAACTAGAAAAGTCTCACCAGAAGCTGGCACAAATTTCAAACCATCTGGCATTCTTACATCAATGCAGAGACTTATGACTCATTCCTTCAGGTTTGGCACCAAGATTCCCCATCAATTCAAGGAGAGCTTCTCTGGTTGCAGAGAAAGAAGGACATGCCCTTGTCTGAGTGTTGGGGCGCACCCACCTTCTAACTAGTAATGGACTGGTCCCTCTTATATAAGTCAGCTCTGGAGAGAGAGTGACAGAGCATCAGAGAGAGAGTCATCGTGAGCAGTCCAGATAAGCTTACCCGGTACATACCGTTGGACTATAGACTTTGGATATTGTTTCGTACTAACCAACCTTCGTTCTACTAATCACTCTATTGTTAATTGCTTTTATGAATATACCAGTATTTTCCTCTACAACTGTGTTTGTCTTGATTCATACACCGACACGCGGGAAACTCACAACATCTCAACAGTGGTGACTTGGCTTTGAACAGAAATAATAACCGATTTCCAACACGGAAAAATTTTAAAAGAGTTCAAGCATTTACAGCAAAAAGGATTACAAGTTATCGACAAAAAAAAAAAACTGTAAGTTAGACATTAACTTATTGATTAAATTGGAAGCTATAATAACCAATTTTTGCTAAAAAAAAAAAAAAAAAAAAAATTATCGTGCCAGAAAATTTGAATTTTTTTGGTCCCCTCAGAGAGAGAAAAAAAAAAACACATAATTTTTTTTTTTCTCTACACATACATAATCATGGAGCAATTTCAATCAACTATGCTAGAACTCATTAAGTACCAGATGCAAAGACAGCAAGAGAGTGAAGAACGTTTTCAGAAAGAGCAACTTAAAATTCAAGAAGAACAACTTAAATTTCAGAAAGAGCAAAAGGAAGAAAACGCAAAACGATTTCTGGAACTACACAAAATACAAGAAGAAAATGAAAAGAAACAGTTAGCAATGGCCGAACTTATACATAAAGCTATACTGTCCAAGCAGAAAGACTAGGATGAAAATATTTTTTTCCCAAGACACAATATGGTCAACGATCAAAAGTTTTACTTATAACCCAGAAGAGGAAAAGACTTGAAAAAGATACTACCATAGATATCAGGATTTTTATGAAGTTGATTGCCAAACATGGACAGATGAAAAAAAAATAAGATTATTGCTACGAAAACTGGGAACGGCAGAACACAACAAGTTTACAGATTTTATATTACCCAAAAAGACAAGAGATTTAAAATTCGATGAAGCAATTGAATTATTAAAGAGCTTTTTAATCCCAGATTTTCATTATTTCACAAAAGGTGGAAATGCCTGAATATCCAAAAAAGCGAGGAGGAAGATTACACAACGTTCGCGTCAATCGTAAATAAGACGTGTGACGATTTTCGCTTGTCCGAATTATCGGCAGACAATTTCAAGTGTCTAATATTCGTGCTAGGCTTAGTGTCTAAAAAAGATAGTGAAATCTTAAGACGCATTTTAACAAAACTAGAAATGACCAAAACATGACACTACAAAAGCTAGCTGAGTACTGTCAGCAATGCGTAAGCATTAAGCAAGATTCAGAAAAAATAGAAGAAACTGCTATCGCAAATGTGAAGAAAGTATATAGGAAGACTAGTTTCAGTTCTCCATCGCCAGAACGGAAGTGGTATCCTACTACAAGAACGAACAGAGGCTATAGAAAAAAAACCCCTTCGAGTGCATGTTATGGATGTGGCCAGTGGCACTGGTACAATGACTGCCCATATAAAAATAAAGCATGCAGAAATTGCAAAAAAGTAGGACATAAGATGTCAAAGTGTAGAAAATTAAACAGAAGTCGAGTAAAAGTTACCAAGTCAGACGAAGATCAAGACCTGAATATTTGAAAATACCTTCATGTAAAAATGTACAACAAGAAGGTAAAAATGCAACTAGATTCAGGATCTGACATTTCAATCATTAACACGCAAACATGGAAAAATCTAGGAAAACCAACGTTGCTAAAATCCAACAAAATAGCCAGGACGGTAACTGGAAAAAAGATAAAATTTGAAGGGAAAATGGGTAAATATAACTTTCAACAATAAGTCGATAAAAATGAAAATGTTTGTAATGAAAACACAAACAACCTGTTTGGGACTCACGCAATCACTAAGTTCAACCTATGGGACATGCCCATTAGTTCTTTTTTGCCACAACATTAGTGAAAGCAAAGACCATATAAAAAATCTACAAGCAGAATTGAAAACGAATTCCCGAAGTTTTTGCTGAAGGACTTGGACGTTGCACTGAAGCATCAGCAAAAATACAGCTGAAGAAAAATATCCAACCAATTTTTTAAAAAAAGCGAAGCCTCCCTTTTGCCGCATTAGAGAAAATTGATCAAGAACTCGAAAGACTAACGAGAATTGGTGTGATCTTGAAAACAGAATACAGTGACTGGGCAGCTCCGCTGTCTACGTAAAGAAGAAGTCGGGCAAAATTGCGTCTGCGCCGATTTTTCAACCGGGTTAAACGACTTTAATAGAAGAGTTTCACTATCCACTACCAAGTCCCAAAGAAGTGTTCGCAAAGTTAAATGGCGGAAAAATCTTTTCGAAAATAGATCTTAGCGAGGCATACTTGCAAGTACCCATGGATAACGAAAGTGCAAAGTTACTATGTATTAACACACATAAAGGCTTGTTTAGATACTAACGTTTAATTTGGGGTGAAGACAGCACCATAATATTCCAGAAAATTATGGATACGATGTTATCCGGGTTAGACTACACAATAGCATATCTCAACGATATTATTGTAAAAAGTGAATCGGTGGATGAACACAAACACCATTTACGCAAAGTTTTCGAAAGGTTAAGAAGATATGGATTTTGAGTGAAAGAAAACAAATGCGATTTTCTCCTGGAAGAGATCAAGTATCTGAGACATATAGTGAATAAAGAAGGGAAAAAGCCAGATAAAAGTCGAGCTTCAGCAATAAAAAATATGCCTGAGCCAAAGGATATTAAATCCCTACAAAGTTTTTTAGGCTTGGTGTCATATTACCAGGACTTTATCCCATACCTCCACATTCTACGAGCTCCCCTTAACGATCTACTAAAAAAGAAAAACCTTGATTTGGACAAAAGAATGCGAGCAAGCATTCAAGGATATAAAAGAAAAATTAACTTCAGATCTATTTCTTGTACATTTTGATCCAAAGGTAGATATCATCGTGGCGAGCGATGCCAGTACACACGGCGTAGGTGCGTGCATATTGCACAAGTGGAAGAATGGAAAAGTTTGACCGATCGCTCATGCAAGCAGATCGCTACTACCTGCTGAACGAAACTATTCACAAATTGAGAAAGAGGCATTGGCGATTATCTTCGCTGTAACAAAATTCTATCGATACATACATGCACGGTTTTTCACGCTACAGACAGACCACAAGCCTCTGGTAACGATATTCGGCTCAAAAAAGGGTCTGCCAACTCACACCGCAAATAGATTGCTTAGGTGGGGGACAATTTTATTAAATTATAATTTCAGAATACAATATTTGTCCACCCACAAAATTGGTCACGCAGATGGGCTATCAAGACTCATCCCAAAAGCAACAGAACCTTTAGAGGATACGGTAATCGCTTCCCTCAGAGCAGAGGACGAGGTTGAAGAAAATTTGGCAAACGCAATACGAGAATTACCAGTATTGCTTAAGGACATCAAAAAAGAAGCAGAAAAGACAAATATATAATAGAAGTAAAAAAAATAAGCTAGCCAGTAAAGATGAAAAATTCAAGAGACATTCTCTCTGTGCGATAATGTGCTATTATACAGTGAAAGGGTGGTAATCCCTAACACACTTCAAAAAAGAATATTGAAAGACTTTCATGCTGGTCACCCGGGCATAAATAGAATGAAGAGCCTCATGAGAGCATACGTCTACTGGCAAGGTATGGACAACGACATCGCGTCTATGGTCGGCAGATGTAAAGGCTGCATTTTGGCATCAAAATCACCACAAATTTTACAGAAGCCATGGCCAAAAACCGACAGGGCATGGTCAAGGATTCACATTGATTTTGCGGGTCCAATTGACGGATGGCATTATTTGGTCGTAGTCGACAGTTTTAGTAAATGGCCCAAAGTTTTTCAAATGAAGAGGCCAACATCTCAAAATACAATAAACAAATTACATGAATTATTTGCAAGGTTTGGGGTGGTAGATACTGTTGTTAGTGACAATGGTACCCAATTCACAAGCAAAGAATTCACAGAATTCTGCCAAAATTTCCAAGTTGATCACGGAGGATTCCTCCGTATCACCCACGCAGCAACAGACTATTTAAAAGGTTCGTCGATACACTGAAAAGAGCTCTTAGGAAAGCAACAGGTACCCCGACTAGAAAGGCGTTACAGCTGTTCCTGCAAGTGTACCAAATTACCCCGAATAAATCTGCCCCATCAGGCCTATCACCTGCGGAACTAATGTTCGCAAGAAAGGTCAGATCGGTTTTTGACAAATTGATACCAGAAAATAAGGTACACTCAACTGTCGCTATGGTTCCCAGGCGAAAATTTAACATTAATGAAAAAATTTTTTTCAAAAATTATACAAATAATGCAACATCATGGGAACCAGGGGTCATAAAAAAACGCATTGGGGATATGGTATACATTATACAAGGAAACAAATTTACACACAAACGGCACATTAACCAGTTGAAGAAAAGAAAGACCGACGAATCGGAAGTAATTCCACAAGAAGACGAATTACACGAATTGTTTGATACATTTGATCTGCAAATACCGCAGACTGAGCAGAAGCAACGCAGATCTGCAAGAAAACGTAAAAGCGACACAAAATTTAATAATAGACCGAAAAGGAAAAAATATTAATTTTTTTCTCCCCACAATGAAAAAGAAAAAAAAACAATTTTAACGGGGGGTGTTGGGGCGCACCCACCTTCTAACTAGTAATGGACTGGTCCCTCTTATATAAGTCAGCTCTGGAGAGAGAGTGACAGAACATCAGAGAGAGAGTCATCGTGAGCAGTCCAGATAAGCTTACCCGGTACATACCGTTGGACTATAGACTTTGGATACACGGGAAACTCACAACATCTCAACACTGAGAGAGAATCCAGTACAACTATTGGATAAAACAGAAACTACAATCTGATGTCTCCCAGAGGCTCACGGCCTTCTTCAACAAAATTACTGATGAAGAAGACCAAAAGAGGATCCATCACAACCTGGATAAATCCTACATACATGAATTCAATGCAATCAAAGCCCACCAAGTACAAAAATTAAGTAGATTGAAAGATTAGAAGGTGATACACATGGTCCATCACCAACCAGTAAAGGCAGAAGTCAACACCAGCTGAGTACCTCTGAGGAGTCAGTTCTAAACAAGAGTCTGAACTTTGCCACAACCATCAGGCAGATACCATACTTGGACATCACTGCTCAAATTGAGAACATAACCTTGAACTTCCCTCAGGCTCAGGCGGATGAACTAAGATGGAAAGTGAGACAGACACTGGCGAAAGCTAAGCCACCCAAATCAAACATGATGAAACTGGAGAGGCTGGCAATCAGAACCCTACAGAGGAATGAAAGCATTATCATCCTACTAGCTGACACAAAAATCTCCTGAGCTGACTAAGCATAGAAATGCATACAATATGGGAAACAGTAATAAGGACTGCTAGAGAAATGCAATGAACAAGAACAAAAATTGCAATATGAGAACTTGTAAAAAATTGATTGTTGAGACATTAGGTTTATAAGTCCCAGAAATTCATACAAAGACACATGACGAAGTGGATAAAGACATTGGTTAGATCCAGTGATTAGATCCAAAGTGTTATGAGTTCAATAACAGGCCACAGCAGTGGTGAACCAAAAACTTGGAGAGTTGAGTTAAAGGAAAATAACTGAGACCTCTGGAAGAGGCATGGCATGTGGAACTTGAACATTCTACCTTGGTTGGTGAAATAAAGAGTTTGATTCGAAATTCCAATCACCTTAAGAAGGCCGGAGTATATAACAGCCAAAACATTGTGAATATGGCAATGAAGACAAGGATGACAGTTCAAACAATGTAAATAATCATAATACCTCATCTCAGATGTGTAGACAGATATTTTATTTTAAAACAATAATAATTTTTTTTTTTCTAAGAAATGAAAAGTAAAAGAACTTGCTTAAGAGCTCTGGCCTTCTGGTTGAAATCAACAGGTTTTCAGGACACAGTCCACCAAATGTGAGAAGGCATTTTGCAATTTGTTGTCCAAGTTTTCCACAGCCTATCATGCCAACACATAGACTTGGCTTGTCATCTTTCTTTGTACTGATTGGACTCCTTGACAAAGATTCTTCAGATTTCAACAGTTGTCTGAAATTTGCAAAAGTTAATAATTTTAGCATCCGACTGACTGCAAGATCTCTCTCCTGTACAAATGTAAAACTTAACAAAAAGGGTAAAGTGTAAACAACTTTGGTAAAGCCTTAAAGCAACAATTGTAGACTGATGACCCATGTACAAGTGGAGAACTATTTCTAGTATGTCCATTCTACATTTAGTGCTTCATCAGTGTGACCAAATACCAAAGTTAACCTAGTCCAATATATATATATATATATATTTTTAGTTGAATGGATATCAGTCTGTAACCGTCGGTTTCATGCTTATGTGATCCTCAGACAAACTGATTTATTTTTAAAATTTGAGACTATTTATGTCAGTTTTTGTTTTGATTATGTTTGGTGTTGATGGCAGGGGTATAATTCTCCATTACAAACTCATATCCATTCAACTAAATATGTTAGTTCTATCACTGATATTGAGTGCTTTCCAATAAGCACCACACACACACACACACACACACACACACACACATATATATATATATATATATATATATATATATATATATATATATATATATGAAGAAGAGTTGAGGCAAATGATTGTGCTCTCTTTCAGAAACTGTAACTAAGATCCGCACACCATATTTACAGTATAAACCTGAGGTGGACTTTGTGGGTGTTGAACAAACACAAATGTGTCTGTATGTTTCTATATACAAGTCAATAAGACTATAGCTTAAGGATGAAAAAACAGACACATTTATTTTATACAACAAATATTTATTTTTCAAAATAATCTTATTTTTTGTCTATGTATTTAACCCAATACAACTTCATTAATTACATACAATGAAAATTTCAAATCAAAATTAATTAGTGTCAGGCTACAAATTTACTGATACTCTTTTGTGACAACAGATGTTTTACGGCTACTTTTATGAACTTATACAGTCTCCAAATAAAAACTTCCAATCTAATGACAGGTGATGAAAATCTTAAAAAAGATATTTCTCTCTCTGACATAGATGGCCATGCCTATCCACAGTTTCCTTTTCCTTTAATATCTGGAAATTTTGCTCTGCCATGATTTTGGTCACTTTTTTCACCCTTTTGAATTTCAGAATTGCCTTACCAATGAAAGGCTTTCCTCCTATTCAACACATAGCTGATTGTGAGAGGAAAATGTGACACAGAAATGCAAAATTAAAAGTTGTTTAGAAACTTCTAGAAACTAAGCAAAGTATTAAGAGAAAGAAAACTATTGTTAGAAACAAAGAAAAGATTGCTGAACTGCTATGCAATATCAAATCTTCTACATGGCAGTGAATACTGGAGAAAAGACTGAGAATACCATGGACATAACATGTGAGCAATGATGAAGTCTTAAGGAAAATCAAAGCTACATGGAAACATATTTAAAATCAGAGACAGATTAAATTTCTGGGACACATAATGCAAAAAAAAAGTCTGGAATTTCATAAAAATAAAAATATGACCTTTTTCAAAGACTTTTTAATTCTATTTTTTAATTTATATTCTAAAGCTATTGTCTATAATAAAAAATGAACATTTTCCTTGATTTCATTTTTGATGTTTTTTGGTAATTTTCCACAATATAATAATTTGATATATTTACAAGTCTTTATTTATTCTTTTAAAAGATGTACCATTCTAGAATTAGTTTTAAAAATTTGTTGTACTTTAATAAATAAATATACAAAGATGTAGGGAAAGTATTGTCCACAACAATTTCATAAATAATTTAAAAATTATTACACAACATAAATAAAGAAGACAGTAGTTAATGACTGACATTGCATTTAAATTTTTGAAGTTCTAAGTTGGCTGGAAAGCATGGAGTTGAAAGAGGGTTCCACAAGCAAGAAGTGTGAGAGAAGAAATTGTTAGCATAGAAATTATGGTTGCATCTAATCAAATCAACTGTAAATTGATGAGACCTTGTTGCCAATCTGTGCTTAAATCCATAAAGTCTAGGTACAATAGAAATTTCATCAGAACAATTACCATGAAAGTATTTATAGAAAATGTACAGGGAAGCTCCATTACAGCAGTGGGAAGTGACTGAAGCCAAGATACCAAGTCAGGACCAATAATATTGCTGATTCTTCATAGGATTTTATCGAGAATCTCTAAATATATAGTAGGATCATCAGACCATATGTGGCAACATCCACAGCATGAATGAATGGTAGACTTTTAAATATGTAAGATAAATTTTGAAGAGAAAAATTGTCTAGCACAATACATAGAACCAACTTTCTTAGCAGCATATCTAGCAATTGATTCGATATAATATTTCTACTTCATTTCAGAGAGAATATTAGCCTGAGAAGGCAGAACAAGTCACTTTCCTGGAGGATAGCATCAATGATGATGATGATGGAAGGTAGAAAGTGATCTCTTAGATTGTTAAGAGAGTGAAGATTTTTTTTTTGAGTCAGTAAAATTAACAAGCCATTTTTATCCACATCTAACAGGATTGTAATCATTTTTGAGATCAGTTGCTAATTTGACTTTATTGAACCGATCAGACTTACTATTAAGACAGGAGTAAATAGTTGTCATCAGTATAAATACTGAGTTAAGAACTGATCAGGAAGGTCATTGATGAAAATCAAGAACCAAGCATAGAGCCCTGGGGTACACCTGCATTAGTACAAAAAGATCTAGAAAAGAGGCTATTCAGAACAACTTTAATTTTGCAATTTGATAAGAAAATCAGAAATAGTCCAGAAATCTCATAACCTTTCAAGTTGTGAAGAAGACCAGTATGCCTAAACCCTGAACACTTTTGAGATATTCAAGGCAACAGCTCAAACTTTGCTATTCTTATTTAATGCTTGATAGACTCTTTTAGCAATAATTGTTAATACATCAGCAATTTACCTAGAGAAGTGAAAGCCATATTGCTTGTCTGAAAGAAGACTTGATTGGATATTATTAATTACAGTCTTGCAAACTCATAAGGATTTCCGTTTTTCAGTCATCATTCTCACATTAGCTACATTGTAACTAATATGCACTGATTGGAAGAACAAATAAATGTATATCTCCTATATTACTTTTAAAAGAATTTTCTACAGAATTTGTAGAATAATTAACCACTATATTACAATGTAATATCACAGGTAGAGACATATATCACACATGAAATTCAGGTAATTGCAATATTTAAAGGATAAATGTTAAATTTTGCTAATAATGATTATAAAATGCTTTATTTTATAGGTGATGATGATGACTACACAATTTCAATATATGACCTAGGAGTTGATTATTTAAATAAGGATTTATTTTTTAAATTAAACTATTATAATAGATTTCTTATGGCTGCATGCAAACTGTTGAAATATTTTGCAATTGTATTATACTGTTTTTTTTTTCTGTTTGCTGTAATACTTGAATTGTATATATGTACATCCAAAATATTTGCACACTTTCAACAGATGAAACAAAAAACAAAAAATCAATACTGTGTTTTAAAAAATTTGCCCAAAACCAGGAAATTATTGAATTTTATTGCCATTATCAGCATTTATTCATTAATGAATGAACTTTATATTGCACCTTTTATTTATTTTACAGTTCTGTAGAAGTATTTTTTTTTAAGTCAGTTATACCCTCTCCCATTTTACTTATATATTTTTTTAGATGTTCATTTTTATAAAGTTAAATTCCTGAAGGTGTTATATTATTAAAACAAATTTAATATTAATCATGAATACATTGAAAATATGGTCCAAAATCTTAAGAAAAAAATTCAAGAAAACTTTGTTGCGGAAAGTTGCTGATACCCAATTTTAATAAAATACACTTTTTATTTATTATTTCCACAAAAAAAGAAAATGTTTAATGTATATTTATTTATGAAGAATTGACATGTACTTTTACAGTATGATTTTAAAACTCTTTCAGACCTTCCCTACAGGTAAGCTGCTAGTGGCCTGCTGGCAGGCTGCACATCAATGATCTTTGGTGGCAGCCACTAGTTGACCTCCAGTGGTCCGCCAGTGCTGACATTGCTGAGATGAACATACCGGCAGCCTGACAGCAGGCAACCAGTGGCAGATTGGTGGCTTGCATGTAGGGCTGGTTGTTACTGATAAATTTGATATATAATAAAAATGTGTTTGAAAAATCAAAAAATGTAAAGTTTAATATCATTATCAACTGTGAACATTTTTTTAAAATAATTTTATTTATTCTTTCATTTTGCAACTTTTTTATTTTTTATTTTATGGAAGGTCACAAATGAAAATGAAAAATAAAATTCTGAACTATGTCCCATGATATAAAAAACAGCCCTGGGACAAAAATATATTTTGTTATATTCTAACTAAAAATTAAGTAATATTTTTGTAAAATCTAGTTACTTAATTCATAAATTTACAATTTTTTTCTTTGAAACAAATGTCTGGGATAGATATTGAATTTGTAAGTAATTTGAAAGTGTTTAATTTCTCTTTTGTCAACATACATCAAATTAGCTAATTGAACTAGGCAGAAGTGAGTTTGATTTTACTCTTTTTGTCTTGAAAATGTCTAAAATCTTTATTTAAAAACAAAAAAAAATTCTTCTTTAGATTATTATCTTTCAAATAAAACATAACTTTAACTTCAAAAAAGGCATTTAAATTATTCAAGACATGTTTTTAACCTTCTTTTTTTAGAAAGTTTGTAGAGGTATTTACTAAGCTATGTGAGTTTGTTTTTTATTTGGAAAATAAAATAGTTTGCTTCCTAAATTTTTTCACTGTACAAAAATTCTTTAAATGCTATAATAATCATTTTCATCAAAAATATTTTATTACTTGAAACCCCAAAATAGCAAATGTATTTGAGTTTTTCTTACATTCTTTATAATCAACATTTCTTGTGACAAAATGTATTCTATAATTTAATTAGCTATTAAAAGTAATGATTGTTCTGTTAAAAAAATCCTAATGATCACCAATAAGAAATTAAAGAAAATAATTAGGTTACAAAAAATAAAATGTTTTTATT